ACACACGCACATTGGAAATCTAGGGATAGTATGTAATTCATACTTACCAACATAGCTATTGATGGGCACAACAGCCAACGCTATCAGGAAAGAGGAAAATAAAACAAAAAAATAATTATAATAATTCCTGTAAGTTTTTAAATTTTATTAAATGGAGTTTATTGTGTAAGTGTTTCTTTGGCTTTGCGTTTGGGTTGAATACGAGTGGGTTGTGATAACGTGGTGTGTTTATGTGAAGAAGGAGTTTTGTGTTTTTTAACTGTGCTACGGCGTGTAATTTTATTGAGTGAACCTGTTTTTGTAGTGTATGTTGCGTTACTTGTATTTATTGTGTTTCTTTGTTCAAGAAGTTGTATTTGTGCAGTTGCTTGGGTTAACGGTGGGGATATTACAGTATGTCGTGAGTCAGAAGTACTGCTTAGGTTTTTGCGTTTGGGTTGTATACTAATGGGTCATTTGGGAAATTATTATTCTAGAAACTCGAGGTTATAGATATTTTAAATGTACTTTTTATGGAATTCAAAATTGTGGGAATTTATGATTTTGGGAATTCGAGGCTATATGGACAGTTTAGATTTGATTTTTTAATTTTTGCAAATTTCATATTTTGGGATTTTGAAATTTTGAGATTTTAAAATTCTTAATTATTAGGGTTTCAATATTTCGGAGACTTTGGTCGTTTGAGATTCTGAAATTTTATAAAATTGTGATCTTGGAATTTGTGAAACCTTGGGATTAAATTTGAGATATTGGTAATTCTTTGAGAGTGTGAGATTTACGGACTTTCAAGTTATAGACATTTTTGGGCATTTAGGAATGTATGATTTCGGGAATTCGAGGTTAAATTTTGGGATTTTGGACTTTTGAGTATTTGAGTTTTTTTGGGATTTTGAAATTTTGAGAATTTAAAATTTTGGCAAACTAGGAGAGTATAAGATTTTGAGATTCTAGACACTTTAATTTTGAGAGTTCTAAAATTTTGAAAGTGTTAAGGTTCTGGAACTTAGAGATTTTGTTTTGAAATTTTGGGAATTCGATGTTATTAAAATTTCGAGAAATTTTGGATTTTGATTTTTACATTTTGAAAATGTGTGGCTGTGATTTTGAAATTTTGCGAATTTGAATTGAAAGTTTCATATTTGAGTAATAAATTTCAAATTTTGAGATATTTGAAACTTTGGGAGTTTGTGATTTAGGGAATTTTAGAAGAAATTGGGAGTTTTAAATTTTTAAGATCTAAAGGTTAAGATATTTTCAATTTTGGGAGAATTTTTCTGGAATTAAAATTCTTTCGAAATCTTTGCTACGGGGGTTCCTTCTGGACTTGAAAATTACCATCGGTTCCGCCCGGCAAGGCAAACCGTCTTCTTCTCCGGCTGCTCAATCGATAAAAATAAATGCTCCGGCTAATTCAAATCGGTGGGCTTTTAACTCTTTTGAAACTGCGTAACAAACCTTAACCTGCCGCCTACCAGTCTCCTGCCTCAACTCCTACTCCTCTCTTTCCTTCCCCTCGTTCTTCGTTATTAAAGACATAGGCACATTGAACCCAAATAGATAATATATTTAAATGATATTAGAGATACAAACAAATTACAGGGATCTAGCAGTTCTTCTCTCCTCCTTGTAAAAACACTAGATTAACAATGACAACTAAACTAAATAAAAATCCTACCAGGTGAGACTAATTTACTCAAGGGGTGGCCATCCTCTACAGTTTGAAAATTTCAACAACAGGTAATCGTTTTTTACTCCAGCGTGGGCTGGGACTTATTTAAATAAACACAAAATTTATCCTACTCTTTGGTAATCGTTCATTGGACTTTAATAAACAATCAAATCAAAATTTTTTTACTATAGCTTCATTACCAAAAAGTGGAATTTTACAGAACGTTACAAATTTAATTAGACTAACCTTTACAACATTTGTACAGCCGATCTTGTGAACTGCTCTTTCCTCTGGTACAGGGTGGATGTGATGAAACCTGACACTTAGGTCTCTGTGACTTCTTAGGGGGTGGCTTGAAATTAACACACGGAAACAAAATCCACGGTGCCTATCCTTCCTCGGAACGAAAGCAAAGTTTAGTGTTTGAACTGAAGCTTAGTCCAGGAAATCCTTCGCGTGGCGAGTGGGAGACGGCTAGTTGCCAAAGTTTCTACACAGCAGGTGTATTTAATTTAAACAGTGACCCCTACTATTTTCCTTCCACCGGCTCTTAGAGTTTATTAACTTTAATTCGCCTGCGAGAGACGGATTTTTGAGTTAGCGGCACGGCAGAACACAAATTTTTATGATCACTATCCGACGGTAAACCGCGATTTGTTCTTGGATGGTTCGACGTATTATTTCACCAGCTCTTCTTGGGGCAAATATCTCTCCAAAACGCAGCGCTACTTCGACAAATGACCGTACGGCACTAGTAGGAAATTCCACCTGGGGCGGATCCCGAAATTCTGCGCCTTGAGGACTAGGGCAGCACTTTGAATTATATATCCTCGAGAAATCACAACGTATCCTAACGCGATTCACTGCATCCAAAGTAAACTGGGGTGAAGCTCAAGGGTTCGCCAAAATATCACCTGATCGGAACCTGGGTCTTCGTCGCCAAAAAAATCAACGCGAAAAGAAAATAACACTTCGAAACGGGTGCAAAAGCACGCAACTGCGAGCAACCGAAATAAACCGGTGGCTCAAAACGCTAAGTGTACCAAAACGATCGCTCAAGGTACGTGTTGACCGCTTGACGTACTAACCGCGAGTCTTTTTAAAAACGATCCCCTTCTTCAGAATTGAAATGAGAAAACCACACCCAAATTACCATAAAACAAAAATGGCTCCCGCTAGAAATTCTCCCATTGGTTTAGATAAAGAAGACTTAACCCACTCTAACTTCGTCGTCAACCTCCAGGAACTGCTGAATAAACTGATCTCACGGTTTTCTGCTGACGACGTGAAAACCCCTTATCTCTTGATGGCTCGGTGCTATATCCGCTCCTATTCTCGGTCTAGACGGCGCCAAAGTTGATAAACGAACGACAAAAAACTCGCATTACTCATGATGACGTCAATCAGCTTTGCACTCTTCCCACGACGAAATTAAATCTGAGCGAAATTAAATCTATCGGACCATAGTCTTGAGCGAACCGAAATGCCCAAACACAAAATTTTTAACCGGAACAAATAATGAAATATACAGGGCGACCTTCACTATCATGACAAGAAATTTCGAATTTTTTAATGAAATTTGGCGCGAAATAAAACCACTCGTTACATCTTACAAATGAGAAATTCCGAAAATTTGAGATTTTGGACTGTTGTGGACACATTCTAACTTTCACGGTCTCCTAATGAACGGTTTCATCAAAATAAATAGGTTTGTACAAACTCTAACTTCCCTCTCCCCCACTTCTTTTTCAAGATTAGTCGGTGATGGGGTCTAGGGAGGGGAGGGGGGCGGAGATGAGAAATTAATTTTGTCTTTCATGGTGTTCTAATTGAAGGTTGCAACGAAAGGAATCGTATTCTACCAACTACCGGCCTTTTTTCTGACCGACTATCAAAAGATGGAGTTGAATGGGGTTGGGGGGGGGGGGGTCTAATGAAAGGTCCCAACAAAAGAAATTAATTTCCTCCTCGACCCCCTATCGGGATCGGATGTGTTTCCTTATATCACCAGTAGGGAATGCAATCTCGCAGCAAAATCTCAATCTCAATCCCGAAATAATGGAACAAACGCAAAAACAAAGGAATTAAGAAAAAAAGAAAATGGAAACTGGAGAGGAAATTCAAAAACGAGTTCAGAATAAGAAAACCCTTTTTGATACTGTAGTGGGAAGGGATCTCATGTATGGAACGGAAATGTGGGGATGGAAGGAATGGGATGAATTAAAAGGAATACAAAGGAGATATTAAAAATCGATACTGAGACCAAACAGAAGGACACCAAATTACAAATCAGAGGAGGAAATAAAAGTGGAGGACCGAAAGTCCCGTAGGGTGGTAAGATTCGAGGAAATGAGAGGAAGGGAAGTGAATTGGGGAAATAACGTTTATCTACGAGGATGAATTCAGAAAAGAAGGAAAAAAACGGATATGGTCGAAAGGAGGACAGAAATAGGGGAAACGAGAAGACACAAATATATATACAAGTACAGCAGCATAGAACTCTAGATGAAACAGAATGTATAAGGCAGCGAAGAACAATGATTAAACTAATAGCGAGATTCAGATGTGGAAACGAAGAGAGCGAGTAGGAAAAGTAAAGAGAAGAAGAAAGAAGGAAAAATAAACTATGAAATAGGAGGATATTGATCATGTGATAGAAATACTGGAAGAGAGGGGCAGAGACGAAAATTAAATGAAGAGAATAATAGAAAACAGGGAAGAAATTCAGAAAATTTGATGTTAACGTAAAAAGTTTCGTAAATAAGTATCTATCTATGTAAGAAGTATATCAACTGTCCAGAAGACCTTAGTTCCATCCTTCTACGCGTTATGGTAACTGAATAAGGTTTAAGAAGAGACGAAGCATTTTGGCCACTGGCTAATTTAATAACACCAGACTTTAATTCCGCAAACACGTTACATTTATGGACACTTGAGTACCATAGAGAGTGAAGCTGCAGGAATACCTTTACCTGACTGCGTTCTCTCACTTCATTGAATTATGTTACGTGTAACTTTTCCTGTACCACCCTGTATTTATACTTTTGTACTGTTTACAAATAACCAGGGTCGATTCGTATCACCCAGTCAAGTACCAATTTGTTGGTCACCATTTTCGTGACCTACTCACCAATTTCGTTGGAAAAATTGAAAAAAAAGTCTCGTGTTGGTGAAGATTGCATGAATTCTATTCGTTCACCATTTCTCTATAAATAGAGGTTAAATAACCCTTTGACGCCAAAATTCAAAACACTCAATTTTCAACGTGGACACGTTACAGTTACAGCTAATGTAAAAATCCTGTGGACCTAGGTGCACAAAAACTACAAAGCTTCTTTTCAGTTTATTTATTGAAACATTCTATTGTGAAAGTTTTGAGAGTAAAACAAGATTTTGATAGGCCAAATTGGTGATGAGGATTCTTCTGTTACAAGTTTAGTTTATGAGATGCAAAGCGTACGTCTGACTTTAGTCGTGGCATTTCTCGTTGGTGCACACGGTGTGGTACTTCTCTGTGCATACGCAGGTGTTGCAGCCACGCACGAACTCTTTTCCAAATTCGGTACACTTAACCATCTCGTTGTGCTCTTCATGGACGCTAGTCGACAAGATTTGTTAGATCGATCAGTGCAAAGCTTTTGTGTACTTACCAGGCGCTCCTGGCGCACGCTAATCCACCATCGATACACTGACAATTGTTGCAGTCGTTTTCAATGTAGCTCACACCCTTTTGGCACGCTAAACAGATTACGGATTAGAATGTGGTGGCAAAAAGGAACAAGTGCAACTTACTCCAATCGTGTTCGGCTGAAACGTACACAACCAAAGCGGCGATGAGGAAAAAGAGTTGGAACTTCATGGTGCTGCGTTTGGAGAACGAGAAATGACGTTTATCTCCCGCACCGTTGCTTTTATAGGAAAAAAGAGGCTGGCAAATGGATCAATTTAGTTAGGCAACACTAAAAAAAGGGAACTGTTGCGCAAACAGGTCAATCGATTTTTGTTTGCCTCGTTGACTGAAACGATTTTTGACCGAGCTTCGATACCAAGTGGATAATCGTCTCTAATATCAGATGGCAACGGACGTAGCTTCCAATTTAATCATGTCATCTATTGTGGAATAACATCATTATTTGCATGCATATCTATCACTCTAAAATTGTGCAAGATACTCTGGTTTTTACCTAAAACTAAATTTCCATTATCCCTGAAGGTAGTGACCTTCATGACCCTCGTATAATTATAATCAGGGGTCATGGTAGTCCAAGATACCGGTTACTAATCTTTGGTTTCGAAAAGTTGCTCTCAGAAACGATTAAGTGATGTTTTCACATAATCTCGATACCGCAATACTCACTGAATCGGTTCATTTAAAATTCGCCTAAAAGTTGCTTACAAAATTACCCATTTTGGTTATTATACGTTTTCCTAAACTCCCCCAAGTTTTCCTCAAGAAATCCTCAAGCCCTTCTTGTGTTCTTCTCAAACGCCCGTCAAGATGGCTTCAGATTCTTCTGTACACCTTCTCGCAAGAGTCTCTAAGGCCCAAGTTCTCAAATTCCTTGCATGATGGCAGGCCATCATACAAATGCACCGTATAGTATTATTGACTACTACAGCCAATACATAAGTCGAGGGTTCAAGTCCTATGTACCGCCAAAAGCTCTTCTACATTCCACAGACATGCAGTTTTGCTGATATGCCCAATGAGAACTTTCCAGGTCAGGAGAGAGTCCAAGATGACTCCCAAACATTTCACTGACCTGGTTCGACCCAGTTGACGTCCACGAAGAGCGCTGTTCTCCCTCCGTCTATTCGAAAATGGAACAACCGCGGTCTTTTCCAAGATAACGGAGAGGCCATGGCTACTACGCCCCCTATTCACCTGTTCATGTTCAAGAGCCCGCGAGATCGTCCACGTATCCCTGTGCGTACGTTCACTTCTCGTTCAGAGTGCGCAGGTGCCTGTTCTAGCACAAGGCACCACAGTAGTGGAGACATCCTCCAGTAACCGATAAGGTAATCTCCGTTGTCCCCATTGAGGATATAATTACTCCTTCCTAGCATGTCGCAGATCCATCTTTTGATGGGCCCGAAGTTACGTAGTCCCCAAAGCCTGGAAAGTGTGTCTCCAGGAGACATGTGAGAGCTTCACCGACGGTAGGCGTATTTCCGCCGCATGGAAGCCTCAGTGTTCTCAATTTTTGCCCCGGATTTTTCAAAGGGACAATACAAAGTCTTTGGACTTCAGCAAAACCCTCCATGTTTCCACAGGAGTTCCTCCATTACCTCCGAATATGGTCCCGCAAAACCCCTTACGAATCCTCTCCAGGTCTGAGTTCTACCAGTGTTCCCTTTCTTCCTCGAAAGGTCCGAAGTTTACAGCTGTCTTCAGATAACGCTGTTATGGCGTTGCTTACTAATGCGGCCGCTTCTTCCACCTGCCCTGCTTTGTTCCGTTGGTCGGAAAACGACGGTACATCGGACACCCTCCAGATCGTGGTTTATTGAAAAGGAGCCAAACGTTAGATCGATATCCCCTTGCCTCCCCACTGTTACGAAAACAGGAAGTGCTCCCTGATCTAAAACATTCTACGACATCCTTGAATCAGAACTCGTTTCGTCTATTGACATATACAGTGATTTTCATGTAGAAGTAGACAGAGGAAATTCCTGTCTACTTTTACACGATAAAAAGTTTTTTAACTTTATTTCCAATTGGTATAGTGCCAATAACAGTTAAAGGAGCTTAAGAGATTTATTTTCTGTGCAGCTAAAGCAAAATATTCAAATTAGTAATTAATGTAACAGCCAAATATTTATTTGTTTGAAGAAGTTATTTTGGTTGCATAAAATTAGGCGTTTTTCAGAAGAATTTTTATCATTCGAAAGTAGACATAGGAAATCCCTGTCTACTTCTACATGAACATAACTGTATGCAAGTCCTAGGGTTCAGTGGCTGTCCATCTTATAATAAAGAGGGTCCGCTCCACCTGGCCCAGATTTTTTACGCCTGCCCTGAATACGCCTGTCTGCTTTAAAGCAAGTTGCCGTCCTATTAAACAGATTTCCCCTAGGGTTTCCCCTTACCGTACTGAAAATTGTTCTGTAAGAAAGTTTATTCGTTCATTACTGATGTACTAGCTACCCCCACCCCCCAGTGATGCTGACGGATCCGACCACTGGTCAGAGCCAAGAACCTTTACACGTCCCAAAAGCTTGTCGACATCTTTATCAAATTTTGAGTACGTCGGTGGTAATCCCGACGCCTCTTCGTGGTCGATAACATAACATTGAGCCTCATCAGTCGCAACGGAACTGGGTTCCACTGTTCCCTCTCCCTTGGTCGCTTTTGTCACAAATGTGACGTACGAGACCCCTTCGTGCGCTTGAAAGGTCTTCCGCTGGAGTGGACTTTACATCGACACCAAATGCGAGGAGAAACATACTTGTCCTGAAACCAGTATTTTTCCTCTGGAGGTGCTTCAAGATGGTGACCGTGTCATCCGGGAGCCCGTATAACACTGCTTGTCCTGGGGACGTGCCTCTGAACTTTCAGAGACGCGTCATTCCAGGGATTGGTAGGAGGGACGGTCTTCTCCAACCAGACCAAGGGTAACTGTTCCTTGAATTCGGTCACAATGGCAACCGGATTCCAGCGGAAGCTTGCCATCCGAGGAAAACCGCCCCCCTCAAACGAGTCAGCACTATTGGCGCAACAATGTGGAGTGCAACATTTTTAACCCTATACATCGTGAAACATTACATGGTTTTTTTCGCAAGGCGGCCCATCAAGAGCTTTTATAGGTTTATAAGATCTTAGGTTTTTAATCATTCTATAATGTCTACTTTTAAAAGACAAAGTCTATTCTGAAGTGTACCTATACCTTTATCCAACCAAAATAACAAAAATAAAGGTCTGGCTGTCATATTCATTAATTTAAATTGTCGCTTTGGCTTCCGTATTTGTTTTGCGATGTTTTCAATTGAAGAAAAAGTTGATATTTGCCATTTCCAATTAATATGACAGCCAGATTTAAAATTCGTTTTAAGAAGTTATTTTGGTTGCATAATATTAGGGCCCTCCAGAAGAGATTTTGTCATTGAAAAGTAGATATAGGTCACATACGGGAAATCAAAACATGTGGTTACATAGGGTTCTATGTCTACTTCTTAATAAATATCACTGTATAGTGTATATTATGTATCACTCAGTGTCCTATCCTTTGTTTTCTTTCAATCCCTTTCTTCTCCCTCGCGATTCTACCGAAACCATCACACCATGTCCTCTTAAATTCTCCCAGAATTGATCGTCTTTACTTGCTACTCCCTCCACATTTTCGTCCTCTCCATTTTTATTTACTTTTGTTCCTTTTCTCTTTTGTTCGTTTCTGTTCCCTTCCCGCCCCCTATATTCTCATTTACTATTAATTTCTCCCTCCTAACTCCGCATTTCGAGTTCCCTTTGGAATTTTTGTTTATATGGTAAATCGTACTTTACTTGAACTTTCAAAGGCGACTCGATAGCAACTCTTTTTTGATCACCCGTTATATAGCAGCCAAAAGCTCGTCAACACCTTGATCGAACCTTAGTGAAACCGGTGCGAAGCCTGACGTCACTTCGAGGTCGATAACGAGCGATTGAGTTCCTCCGTCTCAACGGAACTGAATTCCGCTGCTTCGGTCGAGCCCTCCCTCTTTTCTTGGCGCAGCCGCACCCGCCTTCGTCACAAATGTAACGCGCCAGATCTCCACCTACCTACGCCTGGAGGTTCATTCGCTGTAGCGCCCGATACCGGGAGAACTCTCAGGCTCGATTAAAGACATAATCAATCAAATAAGGTTAATTATTATATACACTAAGGGCCAGAATACGCATACCACGCAACAAGCGATCCATGGAAAAAACTTGTTAATAATCCAAAATGTAGGTGCATTTTTTAACCGATAGAACGCACAAACCAAGGCAAAAACTAGCTTCTAGAACGTCACTCCTTTGACTGCACTTGAATCTCAATTTATACGACAATGGGTTCGTTTTACTTACAGATATAAAGGCGTGGAAGTCCACCTCGCTCATTAGAAACCTCTTTTATTGCAGATGTCTTGGGAACCGAAGTCACATAAGGTTCAATGGGTGCCGCCCGCTCTCTTTCAAATCCATGGACATGAAGCTATCGAGCGAAAGAGCGAAAATTGGGAAGAAGCAAAAGCGTCTCGCTTAACAACTCGACGTTTGGCTCTTTGATGATGGAAAAAAACTCTCTTTAACGGGTTTTTCTTCCGATTCTTTTCCAGTTTTCTTCTGAGACCATTCTACATAGGCTTAGGGTTGCATCATATGTGAACACAAAACTTTGTAAAAATGTTTAATTAATTTCCACAAACAAGACCGGTAACAGATGTCTATCGCATAATGCATGTGGATCTTTTAATTCAGCGCAGGATTCTTGTAGGTCAGTTTAAAAAACCAAGATGCGTTCATTATAAAAGCGCCGTCACCGAAAAATACCAAATCCATTTGAAATCGACCTTTTACCAAATTTGGGGGGTATTTAGTGTAGTCCGGTCCCCAATTACACATTCTGTACGATCCCTATGGTAGTAGAAGGTAGTATCGTGTCAGCGGGTGGCGATAACTTACGGTTTTTAATGGGCAAGTTGTAAAATTTCCGCATGAAAAGATGTTCCCAAAACCGAATTCGTTGTTCTTCATCATGTCGCACAGGTTGCGACCAAATGACAGAGGGAACTCGCGATAGGTGTTGCTCAGAAGTATTTTTGAATATACTTTTCCCTAAAAGTGTTTAGTAAGGGCTCGTTTTGGCTGTGATTTTGTACCGTCAAAACGTTGATGGTTCGCGTTAAGCTTAGAGTCAAGTTCAGGGCGGTATAGGTCCGGTTGTACTTAAAACACCGAATGGATGCTTCTGCCAAAGCTGGATTGTACTCATTCATGGTACACCACTCCGTAAGTATTTCATATTGGTCTTGTACGTACTAAAATAAAATTTCGAGGCCAAAACTAACCCCAGCAGTACTGAAGAGGTTTGGACGTTTCCACGATGAACTGCTACGAAAATTACGAGAACAAGGAATTTGTGTGCGACGACCATAGTAGGAGAGCACACTTGCCAACTTGCTATCTGATGCACATCAACCACCGGTCTCTATTATTATTGGACATAATCGTCTATATAAATTGTTATGCGTAATTTCAAACTCGTTTCTGTCGTTACCGTTGAATAACGCCAAAATTTAAACAATGGGCGCTATAAAAATATATGTGAATATATTGCGGATGTGGGTCATTTAAAGATCTTATCAAATGGCCACTCAATGCATTATACTTGTAGTAATTAATGAGGCAGTGAAACGAGTACACAATGGCAAAAATAAACTCCAACGTAATTGTTGCTTAAATGACACTTTTGACATCTTTGGTCATAAAAAGTAGTAGAAATCGCTTCTGGAACCGCTTGACAAAGACCTGATTTATATGCGAACCGACACAGCACGACGGACTGCGATAAAATGAAAATGCATGGTATGGTCCTCACCCCACCACTTTTTTGTGGGGTGCAAGGTCATGGCAATTGTAGTTTCCCGGTGACATAGCTAATGAGCGACCCAGTTTGTATCGGTATTTTGGACGCCCGCCGCTATGTGCCTAAGCTCGAGTGGTTCTTATCCTGGCTAAAGTAAAATGGGTTCTTATCTTAGCTTCGTGTGGTTTGTATCTTAACTAAAGTAAAATGGGTTTAATTCTCAGAGCCAGTCAAGGTCAATTAAATTGATTCGCCGTTTCGTTCACGTGGTCCAGGCTGCATTCCGGGACTTATTTGATTATTTCTGCGAGTTTTAAGTAATTGTGTGGAATTTGGACTTTCCCTTTGATCAATTACACGCTCTAATTATCTGATTAATTTCGCGGTTTTGCGGTTTAATTCACGCAACTAATTTAAAATTGACAATAAATTGAAGATTAATTAAATTCTGGAAATTGTACCAATTTGTTGGCGTGGTCAAGGGAATTTCGGCCTTATGATACTGAGCAGCAGATTTATTCACGTAATTGATTCGACTCTCTTAACCGGCGTTTTTATTTGGTTGATTAAGTTAATTTAATTAAAAATTTACTTGCCAAGATTGATATTAAGGTCAGAATTAAGGTAAGAGCCGTTTTAAAGAACTATAACTTTTGAAAGAAAAACCCTTAAGAAGCTTTTGTGAGTCCCTAAGAGATGCCTACCACCTCCAAGCAACTCCATAAGCTTCTGAACGCTTTAAAGACCTAGGTTAACAGGTTTCAGGAATATTTATGAGCTGAACTGAGAATGGTCTCTTTCTTACCATTCAGTAAAGTAGGAGGGGCGCACCTAAACAGTTGGTTGCTCGCCACGTGTCGGCGACCTTGGAAGGTGGGAGTTTGTTAATGCACAATTGGTCAGTGACTCTCAAATGTTTTTCGTTACAGAAGACATAGGTCGCGATTAACCCCAGGTTTTCCAGTAACTTCAGACTCAAGAGCCAGCTGCTGATCATGAAGAAGCTCATTTCATCGCTACGTAGAAGTTGCATGCGCTGTTTGCGATTCAACCTCAACCCGGCGCAACAGTTGATATCCCACCACTACCCGTAAATATAATTGGATTTTACGATACAATACAAAAATCCCATACAACTGAATACCGAACGATCCTCGAGATCTTCACACATACGTCATTTACACAATACACCTTAAGGGGTTGATTCTGTCCCACCAGATCGACATTAGTTTTACTTTTATTCGAAGTGCCTACACACAAAATTTCATTTAAATATCTTAACAAATAAGATAAAAACCTACGGCGCATGCGCAAAACAAACTTTTTGATCCGGCGTTAGTTTGACTTTTATTCGAAGTGCCTTCATACAAAAGTTCATTTAAATATCTTAACAAATAAAAAAACCTACTGCGCATGCGCAAAACAAACTTTTTGATTCGACGTTAGTTTGACTTTTATTCGAAGTGACTACATTCAAAAGTTCATTTAAAAATCTTAACAAATACGAAAAAAACCCACTGCGCATGCGCAAAACAAACTTTTTGATTCCACGTTAGTTTTACTTTTATTCGAAGCGCCTACATACAAAATTTTCTTTAAATATCTTAACAAATTTGGGATTGCGCAAATACAAAAGTTGTAATGCGCAAAACAAACTTTTTGTTTCGGCGTTGGTTTTACTTTTATTCGAAGTGACTACATTCAAAAGTTCATTTAAATATCTTAACAAATACGAAAAAAACCCACTGCGCATGCGCAAAACAAACTGTTTGATTCCGCGTTAGTTTTACTTTTATTCGAAGTGCCTACATACAAAAGTTCATATAAAAATCTGAACAAATAAAAAAAACCGACTGCGCATGCGCAAAACAAACTTTTTGATGCCACGTTAGTTTTACTTTTATTCGAAGCGCCTACATACAAAATTTTCTTTAAATATCTTAACAAATTTGGGATTGCGCAAATACAAAAGTTGTAATGCGCCCTTTTTGGAGGTTTGGGCAGTTCTTGGGCTGTAACTTTTTGGCCGGTTGGTCTACGTTTCTACACAAAGTTATCGTGCACATGGACAGACAGACGGGCAGACAGACGAACAGACAGACAGGCAGACAGACGGACAGATAGACAGCAATAAGAAATTATAAACGATCTCTAGGATCGTTAATAATGTTTAATGCATTGTTGTGCCAAAGAAAATATTTTTTAAAAATAAAATAAATGATTTGTTTGGACGAGCATTAGGATTTACAACCCTAACGCTACTATTTACAACATATCACTGCCGCCAACCATTTTTTAAATTAATATTTCACTTCGGAGACACCATTAGAACTCTCTAAATCACATTTCCATTTGCTTATATAGAAAACGCCCATCGTTCTCCAAAGTTCTCGAACGCTATCGCATATTCTAGAATGTTCTCGAACAAATACGTCATATTTCCCGGAAAAAATGCGTCACATCCGCTTTCGTTTCTTATCGCCGATGGCAAATATTTTATTGCGCCTGGATGTCTATAGGGATTTCTAGAACATTACAGTATTCGTAAATCTTTGGGAGTTTCCAACGATTTCAAAAGTCAAGCATTAAGAGGCTGTGAGTGTATGTGTGTGTGTGTGTCTTTGTGAGGGAGTTCATTAAAGAAAAGAGGCGAGTGTTTCGCCAATTCCTAGGATCCCGTACTGCAAGAAAACCTAACTCGGGGTATCCGGAAGAACGCTCGAAACTGTTCTAAGGAAATTCCCATCCCTGTCACAGATAAAAAATTCTTACCTAAACTCAGGTTTGAACACCCGACATCCAGCTTTATAGCCCAATGCTCTATCATTGAACTACAAAGTCGGTCTTCTTCATCCAATATTACCCTAAACGACTGTAGACCGCTGGGCCCAATTCACGTACCTTTCAACGCCATGGAAATCCTATACAGTAGGTAGTTATGATCCCAAATGTCCCAAAACCACAAGCTGATACAACCAGACCATCCTCTTACCGACCTATTTCTCTCTTGAAATTCATCGGTAAAACTATAGAACAGGTTATGGCTTAAAGATTAAGAAAGCAAGTAGAGACTAACAATCTCCGCACGTAAGCTTCGTATTGAATTTATCCGCTTTGCAACCGTTCCTGCAGGAATATTTAAATTGTTTTTACAAAGGTATTGCTAAACTGTCATTTGGAGATTTCATTCCGACTATTTGGATAAGTGTAATTAACCGTAACTAGTTGAATGTAACAGCCTTCGATTAAGTCAAGATTTCTAGGTGCGCCCTTAAAAAACTTGAATTTTGACATCAGTCCCGTCATTTAACCATAGTAATCAAACTCACGGGTCCAAGAATCCTCAAATAATATCTGAAGAACCTGCAAGGACTCCTATTAACTGAAATATAATCTCAAAATATAATTTGGTTTTTTTGGGATTGGATCGTTGTGTAGATTGCACATAAATAAATAATCGGTTTTAGCACTGGTTTTTCTTTAGTTTCTTATCTAGTTTTCTTTCGGGATCAATCTAAATAGGCCCAGGGTTGAAAATATTTAATTAATTTCCACTGACGAGGTCAGTAACAAATGCCCATCGCATAATGCATGTGTGCTAATGTAAACTGGAGCCCTCAATTCAGCGCAGGATTCTTGTAGGTCAATTTGAAAAACCAAGATGCGTTCATCATAAAATCATCGTCACCGTAAGCTACCAAATCCACTTGAAATCGACCTTTTACCATATTTGGAGGGAATTTACTATAGTCCGGTCCCCAATTACACAATAAGTACGATCCCTGTGGTGGTAGAAGGTAGTATGTTGGCAAAGGGTGTCGTTAAGTTACTGTCTTAAATGGGCAAGTTGTAAAATTTCCGCAGGAAAAGACATTTGTCAAACCAAATTCGTTGTTCTTCATTAGATCGCAAAAATTGCGACCAAATGACAAAGGAAACTCGCGATAGGTGTTGCTCAGAAATATTTTGGAATATACTCGTCCCTAAAAGTGTTTAGTAAGGGCTCGTTTTGGCTAAGATTTGGTACCGTCATAACGTTGATAGTTCGCGTTAAACTTAGAGTCAAGTTTATGGCGGTATAGGTCCGGTTGTACTTAAAACACCGAATGGATGCTTCGACCAAGGCTGGATTGTACTCATTCATGGTACACCACTCCGTAAGTATTTCATATTGATCTTGTACGTACTAAAATAAAATGCAGAAGTAATTTCGATGCCAAAACTAACCCCATCAGCCATTACTGAAGTGTTTCCGAGATGAACTGGTACGAAAATGACGAGAATACAAAATTTCCATGCTACGACCATGGTAGAATAGTACTCGCAAAATCACTGTCCGATAAAATCGCAAACCATCGGTCAGTTGGCCATAAGCTTCAATTGTTGGTGTTATTGTTGAATAACCACAAAATTTGGAACAATGGCTGCTATACAGAGATATGTGAATTAATTGCAGATGTGGGTCATTAAAAGATATTATCTAATGACCACTCAATAAATTTTATTATACTTGTGTCAAAGAGAAAAATTTTAGAATTAGATTCAACGTAATTGTGACGTACCTAATCTTGAGTGGTTTTTACCTTGGGTAAAGTAAAATGGGTTCTTATCTCGTGTGGTTTGAATCTAGGGTAATCTTTGATTTCAGGTTTAATTCGAGGGATTATTAAAAATCGCGGGGTCAACCGTGGTCAATTTAAATGATTTACTTGTTCGTTGAGGTAATGTCCATTAACCTAGCAGAGCAAGGTCAGCTGAACACAAACATACTGAACAATTAGGTGCTAATTAAGTGCCCTATTCCCGAATTAAATGTTCCTTTTTTTTAAATTATTACATATGTTCTGCCAGGTTCATATGAACTCAGCAGAGCATTACCTCAAATAACCAAGAAAATGAAATGAACTAACTATAATTAGGTGCTAATTAGGAGCTAATTAAGTGCCCTATTTCCGAATTAAATGCTCCTTTTTTTTAAATTATTACATGTTCTGCCAAGTTCATATGAACTCAGAAGAACATTACCTCAAAAAACCAAGAAAATGAAAAGTGAACTAACTATAATTAGGTGCTAATTAAGTGTCCTATTCCCGAATTAAATACTCCTTTTTTTAATTATGAACCTGGCAGAACATGTAATAATTTTTAAAAAAATAATTCGGGAATAGGGCACTTAATTAGCACCTAATTATAGTTAGTTCATTTTTCATTTTCTTGGGTTTTAAAGGTAGTGTTCTGCTGAGTTCATATGAACCTGGCAGAACATGTAATAATTTTTAAAAAAATGAATCATTTAATTCGGGGATAGGGCACTTAATTAGCACCTAATTATGTAGCACCTAATTATTATAGTTAGTTCACTTTTCATTTTCTTGGTTTTTTGAGGTAGTGCTGAGCTGAGTTTATATGAACTTGGCAGAACATGTAATAATTAAAAAAAGGAACATTTAATTCGGTTATAGGACACTTACTTAGCACGTAATTATGCAATATGTTTGATTGCGTTCTGCTGACCTTGCTCTGCTAGGTTCATGGACATTATTAGGTCAATTTAATCTATTTCGCGCTCTAATTGTCTGGTTAATTTCACGGTGTTGCGGTTTAAATCACAGTCCCAATGAAGTGTCAACTAAATGGTGGGAATCTTAGCAATTTGTGGGCGTGGCCAAGCGATTCTCAACCATATGCAGTTGATAGGCAGATTTATTCACGTACTTTGATTGCTAACCTACTGTACCCTTAAACAATGACAAATTATTCATTTCACATGGGCCAAAGAAGAATAAAAAAAGATACTTATGTGAATAATAGTCCTATGGATGACTGCTGATGAAGCAAAGTAAAGCGTTCAGCAAAAAAAGCCCTTTAAACGGCTATGTGCAATGGAAAACGGTCACTAAATCACCCACCTAACAACCTAACCAGCTGCCTCAATAAATGGATACTGACCAAACCTTTAAAAGTGATTATTGTAAGGCCCCTCTCGCCTCCGCTACATCGAAAATTTCTAAAATATGCATTAATTTAAGGAACCCAGTAGCCAAGAGTAACTTCCCACAATTCCAAACAACAAACTTTAATAACACCTAACATTGTCCTAAGTACTGCTAAAAAATTTAACTTGAGAACCCGTATCTGGGTCGGAATTTGGGCTCAATTAATCACAAAACAAACTATTTACAGATGAAACAAATTTATTAGACATACAAAAATCAAGTGGAAAGAAAAATAGGCACTTGGGGCTGGAATAACACATACCACGCAACAAGCGATCGATAGAACAAATGATTTAAGAAATTTCAATTACCTTAAGGTGTCAAGAATCCAAAATTTCCAGTCGTACCGGCGATTTTCACAATGATACTTCGAACTTCACTCCTTTGACTTCACTTAAAACTCGATTTAGAAAAATACTTTGTTGCAATTACAATTTTTGATGGTGAATAGAACCTTCTTTAAATGATAATTTGAAAATCTGCACCTGTGTCAAACGGTAATCACACGTCTGTATCTTGAAGCTAATTAGTTTTGCAGCTATAAGAAGACTTCTTATCTAGGACCGGAGAAAGACATGAGATAAACTTTTACAAAATGCTACGCAAATAATTTCCATCTAGAGCTTTAACACGTAATTTATATCTAAAATGATCAAAAGAAAATAAACAAAACAATTATTTAAACAAAATCAAGCATCAAATAATTAAACAATTCTGACACATCAACATTGACCTCAAATTTAACTGGTATGGTAGGGATTGTGCTTAGTCTCAAATTACAACCAACATTTAACGTTAACCATAAATGAAATTCCCATACAGGGCGGTCTATCGTTAAAACAGGCCCGCGTGGCCTAGTTAACACTACAGTAGCTAATATCACTATACCTAATTGTTTAAACTTTATGGGATGATGAGAAGCTGATAGAACTGATAATAATAATAATAGGCTAATGTTAACACGACTGTAGACAGCCGAATACTAAAAACACTTAGAAAGTATTTCTTTAGAGTTTAGACTGCAATTAGGAAAGTGAAAACTCTTGCAAGTGAGTATTCCTTCAATCTTCAATCTCTACGTATGAATTTAAAAGATACATAAAAGATACAAAATTATTAAGGATACGCTTTATAATAGAAAGACGTGGAGGAAGTTGTCTCAATAGGAGAGCGATCTTGGATGTTAATACCATCGCCGTGACCCAGTGACCTACTTCTGGTATTCACAGCAAAATGGCCGCTTGCTATCAGCAGATGAAAATATAAGCCAAAGGAGCAGACAATGGGGAGCTAACACAAGGTTACAAAAATTATAGTCCAACAGGATCGTATGGAACTTGAACTTAAACCCTAAAAGAAACCAAAGGTAACCTGGTAGGTAGGTGTTTACATACCACTTAAATAAGAGGGCTAATCGTAGATTAGCATTGTCAATGGAAATTGCTGTACAACAAATTACAGCCGAACCCTAAAGAGGGTACACTCTAAATCAACGAAATGCAAATGGTGGTACTTACGAGGATAAAAAAGAACGCAAATGTATATCCTCACTAGGAGTACAGGTGAATCCCGTCCACTAATTACTTCGTAATTCAATCGCCAGAGATCAATATATCGGAAGATGGCAATTGAAATTTCGTGCGTTCTACCTCACGATTTCAGCTGCTTGTTTAATTGACGTGTACCTCGATACGGCTTACGAAGGAGAGAGATATGGGAATCGACACCCACAAATCAAGGGCTGGCAAATTAAATTCCATCAATAGATATAGCCACCTATCAAATCGTTTCAAAAGTGACGGGGGCCTTTCAACAAGTACCTAATGAACCGTAAACAATAAGTAATATGCTTCCTAATGGAAAAAACAAGTCGTTACAGGCGTGGTTGAAGTAAAAGGGGTTCTTATCTGAACTAATATCTGCGGTTTAGGTATATGTCTGCCAGATTCGCCAGTTTCGGTGGTTCCGTTATCAATTTTATATAAATAGCTAAACGCACGAAAGCGAGGAGAGATGTTTATTGTTCTGAAAGTGTAAACGTTGCGAAGAGATGCCTAGTGTTTTTGTAACTGTACATACGCGTATAGTGTAGTCTGAATACAGAATTAATTCAAAGCGAATAATCGAGTATTACAATTTACGTAGAAAACGCGCCGACTACGTTTGACGAACATTGTGGGTTCAATTGAAAATCTTCATTAATACTGTTGCTACGAACAAATTAATTCCTATCTTTGAACTGGCGAGGATGGTGAGAGGGCCAATTTGATTTAGTTGGGGGTCTGGGGAGTAAAAAAAGGAAAGAAGCAAAAGAGGAAGAGTTGTTCGAGGTGTTTAGAAGGAGCAAAAAAGGTTATACAATTACCGGAGGGAGGTTTTTTCAAGGCTTTTAATCACCTTTTAGAGATTGTGTTGACTTTTAAAGCCGTTTAAATGCCCTCACGAGTCATCAAATGAATTCTTTGTCCGTTCTTTCCAGTAGGCTTTAGTTCATCAACATCAAATCAAGTCGATAAAAGGGTCGTCACCGACAATAGAGAATGAAAACGGATGCGACGCATTCTTTCCTTGAAGTATGGTGCTCCTTCTATACTCTTCAAGAATGTTCCATAATTTTTGCTAGAAACTTTCCGCTTGATGTATAAGTAAATTGAGGCGTGCTTAATGACAGTTCATACATTGATGAAGTTCTGAACCATTAAAATCGTGTGAGAGTAAGATCAGCAGTCAGCCTTTAACAGTTTCCTAGAAGAGCTTTTATAGTCGAGATTGTACCTTTTCTTTTAGAGTAAAGCATTTTCCAACTGTTGTGCCTTTGAGGCCTTTTATGAGTTTGAAAAATCTGTAATGCAAATGGACTCAAACATTCGGTTTGTCTGTCTGTCAGTCGCTCTGGGCTGAACCGAATGGAACCAAATTTGGAACACATACTCTTACTTTTGGGCAGAATTCCGAATGCGCAAGTGTGCATCAGTGCTGGTCACAGCAATTTCTTTAGAGCTTCCTCTACCTGTTTTGAATAAGATTGAAATAAATCCGCTTAACAACCATTCTTATTTTTAATCAGAAGGTTTCTGTCTATTTGAACAAAATTTATTGCAACAGCGGATTCAGACCGATTGATATAGGATGTTTACAATTACCATGAAATACAAATTTGATAGTCCGATATCGCAGATTCGCAAGGTTATCAAAACCGTTTTTGTTTTACTCTAATTAGGTTTTGGACTTGATGTTGGGAAATCAACCTTGGTCGAATGAAAGTGTCGTCAAAGCGTCTCTATGGACGTTAATTTTAATTGTTGTATGCGTGGTAATAGTTACCCAGACTCTTTAGCGGTTTTTTGAATGTTCATTTCTTCACAGTCCATTTTTTTTAAGTTGCCCTTTATTTGTACTGAAGCAGTTGTAATGTATCGGGTGACCCAGTAACTCTGTTCCTCGGCCATATCGGGTAAATCAGTTATGAAGAATCGGTGGAAAATATTTTCAAGTTCTAAAAATGACCACCAAAGGGCGTAACTGCCATCTTAAATTTTAAAATTTGCATTTTCCTTAAATTTCGCATAATAAACTAAACATTCTTTTTTCACATTTTTAAAGAGAACCAGTTTATCTTTCTGAATGTAAACACAGCAGAATAATTTACAAATTACGGCTGTTATTATTTTATAGTGCATCGTGTTTCATTTGTTTAATTTTTCAAGGCCTACCTAAAAGTGTAGGGTGCTTTTCTTTCGCTCCATCGACAAATACCGGAAATATGTCAAATAAGATACAATTTAAGCATTTTTATTAATTAATAAATTAATCTCATTTTCCCAATATTTGAGGTTAGGAACGATATTTTGAAAAACGGTTTTCACTGGCCTCTTTGGGTGTTATTTGGCTACTTTTTCATACAGAAAAAGTCATATCATTCCATTTGATTTTTTTTATTTTTTTAGGATTTTGGGTCATAGTGTCAAAGCTAGCCTCCTGGCGGAGAAGGATTCAACTAAATTAACTCTATTTTGGTTGATTCTCATTGCCTAAGGAATGCTTTTTTCAACCATACCAAATTTGTTAAAATCGGTTAAACGGTTAAGAAGTTAAAGCAGGTTATTGCAAAAACAATTGAACGCCCCACACCATCTTTGTTTTTGAAATAACTGAGTTTTTGTTTTCACGAAAATGATAGATAAACTCTAGGATAAACTGGTTCTCTTTAAAAATGTGAAAAAATGTTTTTTTAGTTTATTATGCGAAATTTAAGGAAAATGCAATTTGTTACGGCCACACTTCCTAAAGGCGTAGCGCATACCGATACGCATACGCCATCCCACGCCAATGCACCCCAACTACCTTTAGCCACAGGTGCCCGCGCACCTGTACAACCCTTAACCACTGACGCCCCCGCACGCGTCACCAGGAGCGGCCGACAGATGCCGCAAAGGGAAACTCCCTCACGCAAGATCACAACACAAACCATTTAAGAGCCGTTGAGATTCCTCTCAACGGCACCGAGGCACGTGGCGCAGTGGATGCGCTCACCGATGCTATTCGGAAGGTTGTGGGTTCGAATCCCGCTGCCGACTGCTCTGTCTGGGGTTTTGTCAGGGGGTTTTCCTCAGACATACGTAGCTTCGCATAATGCTAGCATTATGTTGAAATCTACGAGGCGAATGCTGGAGCAGTACTCTCCCCCTCAGCACCCTAACTCCGTTCCTTCCGTTCCAATCCCTAACTTTACCCATCCTTACAATCCCGTTCTCTGGCTGAAGAGGGCCAGGAAGCCCTGAGCAGCCCGCCTCCGGTATCCCTGTAGTCAGGGGTGCCGGAGGAATGAAACACGTTGGCCCGGCCTCTCAACGGCAAGAAGAGCAACGAGCTTGCTAGGTGGGACAAGTTCTCAACCAAGCCTCGGGTCTTCAGCCTTGTATCAGCCACGGCGACGAGCAGTGCATTTTCCCGTAAGATCGCTCTCGTTCCTTAGCGTGATAAGTAGGACGGACTGCTCTCTTTCGTCGCGGTATCGTGAAACCCGTGCCCAAGGACTCACTTTTGTGTTGTTACTTTGTTAGTTAAGTGTTAGCGTGTATATATATAAATACTGTATAGTAGTGATAAATAAAGTCACTTTCTATCCGTAGTAAATAGTACTGCGACTCTTTTGCCAACCAACATCCATAACCCCTCTAACAAATTTTAAAATTTAAGATGGCAGTTACGCCCTCTGTTTGTCATTTTTAGAACTTGAAAATATTTTCCAGCGATTCTTTATGACCGATTTACCCAACAATTTTTTTTACCCCTAAGTCATATGACGAACGGTTCTCGAGATATCGCCGAGGAACAGTCTTATTGGGTCACCCGGTACAGGATATCTGACTTTCAAAGTCATTTTTTTTTAATTTTATGCTGAAGAACTCAAGGGCTCTGTTGGTCTTTCGGGTCAGCGTTCCATAAGCATACAAGATACAACATACAGGAGAGGTTCAAACACCTTCGAAACGCTGGCGTTCCTCAAAAATCACTATAGTTCGTAACAGTTCAAGAAGGGCCTTGTAAGGTAATAAAAAAAATTAAGTTCTAAAGCGGCTTAGAATGCTCTAAGATGGTCTTGAAAGCCCTTAGAAACTCCTTGAAATTGTTGGTGACTGCTTAATTAATGCTTTTAAATGCTCACGAAACCTTTAGATGTAAAGGATCTTAAATGTTAAATGCTTCGTAAAGACTCTAGGCTAGTGCAGAATCTTCAATACCGAAGATAATATTTTTAAGGGCTTTTAAAGATCTTGTATCCTCGGCCTTAATTTTGGCTCAATTAAACACACAGCTGATTAAGGTCATTTATTCAACAAAAATCAATTAATGGGGGGGGGGGGGCACGAATGGAAGGCGCTCAGGGCCTACAAACCAGGTACCACGCATATGCGATCGATTGAAAGAAATTAAACTTAAAAGAGAACTTTAATTATCTTAAAAAGTTAATAATGATAACATCAGGTTATAGCTGCGATTTTTAACGAGCGGACAGAAACACTGATGCTGGATCGGAATCCTCAATTCTGTACTTTTTCTTGATTCTTGATTTCAACAAGCAACAAGCTTTGTTATAATATGGAAATAGTTATTTACGTTATAAGTCCGGTAGGTTACTTGTAACAGTACGAGTTAGACATTATGGACGAGGCGACGTCAGGAGCCGAGTCAAGAATGTCTTAAACGAGTACTGTTACAAGTACTACCGGACGTATATCGTAACGTATTTTATTTCATACTGTAAGTCTGTTTTGTATCATTATTTCATTTCAAAGATTACAAAATTTCATTATATTGTAAAAATCGCATTACCTTGTTTCTGTGGCAACGGCCGTTGCTATAGTTTGTACTTTGTTGACATTGAATTTTTTTCACTGAAAAAATGGACGCTATAAACGTTGTGGGATGTTCCACTGTTCCCGATACAATCCTGTCGAAATCTCATGAAGCAACCGAAAAGTTGGTTCCTAAGAAGTCGGCCGCAAGGTATGAAAAAGAGTACTAAGTGGTTTGCCAATTGAGAAACGAACATGGGGCGAAACAAGTAGAGGAAAACGTCATGTTGGCATACTGTTTGGATGCAGTAAGTTTTTGAATTGAGATTTTTTTGCCTGGGTTTCGGTGTTAAAGCGTCATGGGGCATGGAAAAGCTCATCGACGGCAGAAAAATATACATCGAAGGCTCGGTAGAAGGAAAAGTTAAGATTGGCCGTATGATACAACTGATACAAGGCGGCGAAAATTTCATTGAAGTTCTACAGCAGAAGGGATCAAACATTACTAACTCGACATCCAGTAATAACCCAGGCGTTAGTGTTGAGGGCAATACAAATTGTTTCATTACAATCAATGTTAATGTTTGAAATAAAGAATTACAGCCAAATTTATGTTGGGGTTTTTAATTAATTGTGTGAAGATGTCAAATTTGATGTATACAAATAACAGTCCGGTAAGTGTTGCTTAGCGACACTTACCGGCTCTGATGCTGTAATAACTCACCTACCGGACTCAAAATGATAGTGTAATCGAACATCTACCGGACAGTATGAAATAAAGTGATTTTTAATGGCGGATAACTTCACTTTATCGGATACTAGGAAAAACCTAAAAGATCCCATTTATGTAATAGATACGACACTCGAACTACTTCTCCGTATACGTTACACAAAGCGTGAGCTTATAAACTTCCTTGGAATACCATCTAAACTTTTTTCTGCAAGAACTTTACAACCACCAAGACTGACTGTCTTTCACAAAAAAAGAACTAACCCTAGTCCCGTATTTCGTCTACTACGCCCATCTAAAAATCCTTCCTTTCTATTCTTTCTTCTAGCCACTTAGAAAGAGGGAACGCCGGTCGCGTCGATAAACTAACACATGTGTTTACTTCGGCGAACACCTGCTTATCTTCAAATTAATTAGCTTTTACGGAGAGATTACGAAATCCTTATCGCAAGACCGGAGTTGAGATAAATTTGTAAAAAAAAGAACACAATGCAATTATTTCCAGATGCCCCTAACCCTTCTGAACGTAATATAACAACAATAAAACACCTAAGTTCAGATTAAAGTGCTGGATCGAGGAGCCTATGTTCACTGTAAGGGATTTAAATGGCTCTTGCTTTTTTATGGGCTCTATAAAATTATTATAGGCTCCCCAAGCCTAACAGAGATCGTAGAAGTCTTAAAAAGTGTGAACATTTTCAGCGGTTCTATAAGCTTCTATGCGACTGTTCGGGGAGTCTTTGAGACATTTAAATACATTTGAATGGTCTTAAAAACCTTTTAGGGCCCGTTAAGGCTTTTTGGTCTCATTAAGGGTCCTTAATGGCACTATTGTTGAGGGCCCAGAACAAGAGAGGGATAATAAATAAATAAATAAATAAATAAACAGTTGGCCGCTTTGTCGTTTCAAAAATTTAGTTTTAAATTTGTATTTTGTTAAACATAGAAACATCGCTTCATAGTGAACATGAACAAAAGTATATCTGGCGATAACAAGCGATTACAAGAAACGTATTACGGAAAGCGAGCGCGGTTGCCATGATCTATTCAATTCTAAGGGCTTTGTTCCGTTCCGGTTCCGAGCACGTTACCGAAATGCACGTTTACTATTCGTTTAAAAAGGTTCGCTGGTCAAGGAATTTTCCAAGATAAACTCAATTGTTACCAGTGGAGAATATTACCCAAGTGAGTAATGATAATGTTTAAATTTTAGGATTTGTCTAAAGTTATAGTGGTCGGTTATTTTTAGGAATTTGCATAGGACACTTTGTTTAAAGTCATTTTAATATTCTTAAAGGAATCGGCCTATAGAACCATTTACATTTATGAATAAGAATCGAATGTAAACATTGATTGATTGGAAAATTCCATTCCATTGACAGTGTCGGAACCTCTGCTGCTTATTTATTCCAATATTGATATAGTAAATATCTACGTACGTTTATAAAAGTTCAATTCAAAGCAGTTGCCTTTGAAGAATAGTCCTGAAAAGTTGACTGCCCTGACGGCAGAAACATGTGAAGAGCCAGCGAAGAAGAAGAAGGCTGGTGCCCGGGACTTGTTACTTCGGTATCATATAATTTATTTATATGAAAAGGCCAAAGGGCGATGTAATATAGATACGAAATAAATACAGCCAACCTATCCGACAACCACCTAGAATCCTGTCGTTGGCTAAGAGGACGGAGGCGGAGATGATTGTACTTGAGATTTCCCGGTCACCCTTGTGAAGAAGAAAGCGGATACCCAGATTTTGTGTGGGTTTTTGTCATATCAACAACGTCACTAAGAAAGACAGCTATCCGTTACCGAAAATTCACGACATTTTAGATACTATTGCCGGATCAAGAATATTCACAAAGTTAGATTAATAGTTGCTATCTCCAAAAAATAAGGAAAAACGACTTTTTTACCCTTGGATCGGGATTATGGCAATTCACCGTTATGCCATTTGGATTGTGCAATGCGTCAGCCACTCTTGAGCGATTAATGGAATCAGTTCGTAAGGGGTTATCCTGAAAGAAGGGTTGCTGTTATCAAAATTTAACCCCTCGAATAGGCATCTAGCCCCTCGTGCGGAATATGCCATGGTAGTAATGTTTGCCTTATACAATATCTCCTTACGTTTCTTACGCCACTCGGAGAACGCTATCGGTCAACCTTTCTCGCTTGACTTATTTGCCACATAACTAAATTACGCCACTGCGAATCAGATCTACGGGTAACTTTCCGTGCTAAGTTCACGACACCGCGTTTTGCTTTGTTTAATATCGCCCAGAGTTTGTAATGTACAACATCGCGATCCTAGGAGGCGGAGTGATAGGGCTGACTACGGCGGCCGTTCTTCAAGATCGCCTCAGCTCCACGGCGAATATTACCGTCTACGCCGACCGACTGTCGCCCAACACCACCGGTGACGTTTCCGCCGGCCTGTGGACACTTTTTCTCATCCAGGACCCTGATCTGGACAAAATTTTGTAAGTGCAAATTGTCTTAGTTTTGACTTAGCCGAACACCATCAGAGCGTGGGGGAGGAGAACCTATGAGTGGGTGTTGCAATTGTGGAAGGCTGGACATGCGGGCGAGGCGGGGATTGCCCTGCAACCAGTCAAGTTGCTGTTGAACGATGGAACGCAGTCGAAGAATGCGAGCGTCGTCTTCGGCGAATGCCCGATGGCTAAGGTCCAGGTGGAGGAGGTGAACAAGGCTTTACAAGTGGAATTCCAGTGAGTGACTGGAGGGTTCTTGGCTCTTTCATTAGTTCCTTTAGGGCAGGTGTCAACTACGTCACGTTTACTTGCCAAATGACAAAGTACCTACCGTTCTTGCAGCGCAGATTCGTTCAGGAGGGTGGCAAAATTGTGGTGAGGAGAGTGGATAGCTTAAACCAGCTAGGTGAATATGATGCGATTGTAAATTGCAGTGGAATGGATGCATCTTCTTTGGTGGGGGATGACCAAATGTCACCCATAAGAGGCCAAGTTATTAAGGTATCCACCAGTCCTTCTGCTGCAGGTTAATGTATCCTAAGTTTTTAGGTGGAAGCTCCATGGCAATTCTCCACTGTGCTAGCGGGTGGTAGTTACGTCATCGTTAAGTGAGTATTGATACCGGAGACTACGACTGGGATTATACGTAATCTTGCAGTGAGGAGAGTACAGTTCTGGGCGGTACTGCGCAGATTGGAGACTATGGACAGGATGTACGCAGTTCTGATTCGGAAAAGATTCTTCGCAACTGTACCAAACTGGTACCTTCACTTAAAGTAGGTAGTTTGACTGATACCACCGACTTATATAAACCTCTAGAACACCAAAGTAATCGCTCACATGGCGGGTTTACGTCCGGGAAGAACGCGCGTGAGATTGGAGACGGAAATTAAGGAAATTGCCGGAAGGAGACTACCTGTCATTCACAACTACGGACACGGAGGTTCGGGAGTAACGTTATCTTACGGATGTGCTTTGTCAACGCTACAGCTGGTCAAGGAGGCGCTCAAAATCAACCTCAAAAGCAAAATGTGATTCGGAATCATCTCACTAACCTATAGACCTAAAAACAATTTATTGGAATACAGATTTAGCATTTTTTATTAGTGCAAACTGTTCCGTAATCCTTCACGCACCAGCAAGTGTTGCAGTTCTTCAAGTGGGTCTCTCCAACGGAACAATGTACCAAAGTGGTTGGTGTTCCAGAGCTGAAGATTTGCGCATAGTCGATTGTGTTCTTAGTTAAGAAGGTTCACTTACCAATGCTTGTCGGTGCAACCCAGCGTTCCGGACGTATCGCAAACGCAGTCGTTGCACTCGTTCTGCTTGTAGGGAACGCCAACCTTGCAAACTGAAAACAATCGTACTATATTGCGAGTTTAAGACCGGGTTTAGGCTTACCAAAGTTCGCCGAGGTGCAGACGACGACAGTGCAAATAACCAACAAAATTGCAAGCTTCATGGTGTGTTTCTAGACGAACTCGGCGCCTTTGACATTTATATCCACCATTATCATTATCACTTTTGTAGAGATATTTGGTTTCTAATTAAGGATTTGTACATTTGACCTTCCCGATTGGGCTCAGAGATAAAACAAAATGGAGCGGTAAACAAGTCATGTCGAATAAAGCATCTGACCCCATCATTAAGTATGTTTACATAGCATCATGCAATCAATGGAAGAGAATATGTAAGTGGGCAGCCATACAGAGAGTCCTGCAAAATGTTTCGGTAGTTTTTTGTAACAGGTTGTCCATGTCGCGATCTTTTACTAACAAAAGGGACATTATTATTTAGACGCAAAGGAAAAATTTTTCAAAAACAATCATTTTTTCGTAATAACGCCCGCAGTACTTAGCAGCAGCGGCCGAGAAGAGATTTTGTGCGTAAAACAAGACGAGAATATAAAATGCGTTACGCACACAACCAGGAATTGTCAGGGGAACCTTCGTCGGGACAAAAACCCTTTCATAATAAATAAATAAATAAACAAGAAAAGCAAAAGAAAATCCACGAAACATTTCAAATTGTGTAACAGAAAAAATCAGATCACGAACTTCAAGATTCTAGGAACGTCATATGTTTTTCAAAAACAACGTGCGTCGTTCCAGCTGGTTGTCGAACGTCCCAAGAGATAAACTTGTTCGTCGATCTTCCTGTTTTCGATATTTTAGTAAAGTTGAGCTAGCCGTGGATACATTGAAGGCAAAATTCTAACAGTAAAAAAAAACTTGCAATGTCCTGGTATGGATTCCGCTCTGTTGTCACAATGCGCCAGTTTTTTCCACCTACCCTCCCTATGGCACCCTCTCATACGGCATTTGAGCTAAGAAACCATGAACATTTTTTTTGTTCAATCTCCTCCAAGCCGTTTCCAAACACCAGTACTCACCGTACGAACCTTGTGTAACGTAGATTAACTAATGGCCCAAGTAAAAACTGTCCGTGAAAACTCCGTAGTGCTTTATCTGTTGATAAACAAAGTATAATCAGCTCTATAGAATATCTTATCACATGTTGTTAACTTATTATCTAAATACACAAAAAAACATTATTAATATTTAAACAGATTTCCTAAAGATAACGAAGACATGTAGTTGTAGTTGTTGTTTTTGGTGAATAAATAAATTTTTGTTTAATGCTTAACCAGTATGAAGGGATACTTACAGCCAGGAAGACTGGACGGTACACCGAAAAACTGTTCGGCAGTAATTAATTGATTAATATTCATTTACCTACATTCATAAAAACAGGCGCCAAAGACCAAAAGAAAGACAAGAATTGACATGAAATTCACACAAAAGAGGGAAAAAACCGTAGATCTAATACGAGCCCTAAGTAGCATGGTGAGTATAAGAAGCCGAAAAAAAGAGGGATCAGCGCCATTGGGGGAGGGGGGAGATCTTGGTTACAGACATCTCTCTACGTACAGGGTGTCCGATTAATAATGGTCACAGGTTATATCTATGGAACCGTTAATTGCACAGCTTCGGGAAAAAAAATTTGGTAACAAAAGGGGCCAAGAGAAATCGCTGGAAATTATTTTCAAGTTTCTAACTTTGCCGCTAGAGGGCGTATGATTCATGGTTAGGTAGAAAAATGACTTTTTTCCTAAAATGTACCCAACAAACATGCATAAAAAATACATGCATAGTAATCTTGTATCAATTTTGCATCATTTTGATGGAGCACAAATTGCTCTAGCTCATAAAATATGAGGAGTGGGGGAAGGGGAACATCTCTTTAAAGAATTGATTGTAACAGGTTAACAGATTTTCACAAAATAGGTCTTGTTGGAAGGACCTCTCTTCGCGGAATCAGATTTTATTAAATAGAGTCTTTTTAGTAAATGTGATGAGAGGGCGCGATGTGACATTAACATACACTTTGCAGGTTTTTTTGGTAATTTCAAATGGAATGATATTATTATTATATGATATTATCAAATAAGGTGAAATAGTGAGAATATCAGTGAAAACCGGATTTTGATATCTGTTTTCTAACCATAGATCTGGCGAAAATACGAATACATTCACAAATTTGAATTGCAATATTGATGCTCATTCAAGTTGGCTTTGAAACAAAAGAAAACAGAACAAAAGAAAGTTCAGTCCTTTCATTAAACGTATTCGTGCGAATTATCACCACGATGGATGCCCGGCACATTTCTTGGTAAGCGGGAGTCGAGGCGAGAGTGTTTGAATTTGAGTTATCCTGGCAAATGGATAGAAAAAGGAAGTATTTTTTCATGACCAGCTAGGTCACTCGACTTAACTTGCTTAGACTTAAATTTGTTTGAAGGGATAAAAGACGCACAGTCTTTCTAACAAGGCCAACTACAAGAAACGATATGGTGACGAGAATTAGAAATGTATTTCATAGTCATGGCTGAAGTTAAAGCAACTGTTCTCGCTACACAGCAGAGACTCGTCTTTGTGTCGAAAATAATGGCAGACATTGAACATTTCGTTAATTATAATTATTATTTCTTTTATTATTTACTTAATTCATATTTCTCTGATTTAAAGTTTGAATCATTTTTTTGTTGCTCAAAATTAAAAAACTTAGATTGAGTGTTAATTTTGAACTGCCATCGCCTCATTCACTTTGACATAATTATCGGTTGCTATGTGTTCATTTGTTTCAAATCCAATTTGGATGAATATAAATATTGCAATTAAAATTTGTGAATGTTCGTATTTTCCCCATATCTCTGCTTAGAAAACAGATATCAAAATGCGGTTTTCACTGATATTCAGGTTTATTCTCGTGCCACTTGTTAAGCGTTTTGTTTGTTAACTGAGCAAATTTGCTACGTCTAACAAAAATTGGTATTCTGGTAGCCGTTTTGTTTGGTTAGCGTAACAAGATGCCTAGCAAAATTGCTACGATTCTTACGCCATTTCTGAATTGGCGTTGGCACTTTGTTAACGTGAAATAACTCACTCTTGTACGGATTAACGCAGGGAGCGGGGCCTTGCAACGGCTACAGATCACGATATTTTACATATTATTTCCTGCATGTAGTAAAAGAATTAGAATTGATTTGGTTACATGTCTATACTTCAACAATTAATTCGCAAACGTCAAAATTTTGCCGCGGTTAAAAATGTGTTAAAATTGTATCGCTTCTGATTTTACCAGGGATTTTGCCTATTAGACGACCACAAACTTGCGGTTGCTTAGATACGAGAATCGAAAATGTCTCCTAATGTGCTAATTTCGAATGCACTTCTCTTCCGCGATGTCCAGTTTTGGTGCAAATTGCTTCGCGAATACTAAAACCGCTGTGAATAGGTATTTATTCTGGGAAATATCCATGCCGAATATCCCGTGTGCTTAAAAATGGCTGATTAAATTTTAGGATATTACTGCTGATTCAAATGCTCATGAGTCATGAGTCATGGATAGGGACGAAGGTAAGCACCAATCTCTATGTACCATCGAGATTATTGAGGGCCAAGGCGAGTGCTTCCTACAAATCATTTTTGGAAGGAAAGGAACATCTTTCTTAATATTTGCCTCAAACAGCCGCTTTTTTCCTGCAGAAATGTAGATATTCCTGATATTGCAGGCGAGTTGTTTTATCTTGAATTAAAAAATGAAAGTCCAGAAAAGAACAAGTTAATAAACTAAAATAAACTCATAAAATATATCAAACGAGATAAGAGTAGGTAAGCGTGAAGAATAATAGTAACGATAACTAAAAAATATAAAAATATTTTAGGCGAATTCAACTATTTCGGCTCCAAATCGCAGCTACTATGTCGTGGAGAACAGCAGTTAGTTAATTTATTCAGAGCTGCTGCAATTTCTTGGAGTTCTTTCAAAAAGAAAATGTTTTTCGAACTATTTGTGCGTATTTTCGGAATACGGACAAGAAACGGCTACATTCATGCGGTATGGCGTAGCAAAACCGTAGCCACGCCCTTACTTGTTAACTCGCTTCTGTGAAAGTGCCACCAGAATTGCAAACGAACAAAACTACTTAACAATTTGTTAAACGCGACTTAACAAATTCGTTAAACGTAGCAAATTTGCTAAAATAACAAATGCCACGAGAATAAGACTGATTGTCACTTTTTCATCTTATTTGATAATATAATATAATAATTATATCGTTCCATTTGAAATTTTTAAAAAAACTTGCAAAGTTTATGTTAATGTCACATCGCGCCCTCTACCACTCATCACGTTTACTAAATAGACTATCTTCATGTAAAATCTGATTCCACGAAGAGAGCTCTTTCCAACAAGACCTATTATGTGAAAATCTGTTAACCTAATCCGAAGTTACAATCAATTCCTTAAAGAGATATTCCTCTTCCCCCACTCCTCATATTTTATGAGCTAGAGCAATTTGCGCTACATCAAAATGATGCAAAATTGATACAAGATTACTATTCATGTATTTTTTATGCATGTTTGTTGGGTATATTTTAGGAAAAAAGTCATTTGTCTACTTAACCATGAATCGTACGCCCTCTAGCGGCGAAGTTACAAACTTGAAAATAATTTCCAGCGATTTCTCTTGGCCCCTTTTGTTAACAAAATTTTTTCCCCGAACCTGTGCAATTAACGGTTCCATAGATATGGCCTGT